AATATCTGGATATTGTATGGAGGTTTGCTGAAATGGGGGTATCCCCAGTCATCCTCCATTTGATTTTCGGATTTTCCATGAAATAAACCATTCAGCTATTGGGGAACCCATATGGCCATATAGAGATATCCATTGATCAATGGGTATATTATAATTAGATTATACCATTCTCTATTTCCATGTGGGTAAAACAGTCATAAACCATCCTGGTTGGTGGTATACTTACCCCTCTGAAAAATATGAGTTGGTCAGTTGGAAAAATATTCTTCCCAACTGAATGGAAAGTCATCGAAGGAAGTTTAGAAGTCAAACTTCCGACAATATGGACAGATGACAAGCAGAGCAGGGCAGAGGCAGAGAGAAGAGGAAGATTAGAAGAAAGAAGATCAGAAGAGAAAGAGTAAGAAGAAAGAAGATGCAGATGTGCGAAAAGGTAGGAAAGTCGCGATTCACTGTTTTTCCAATGATTTGGGGCTCCGGAGGGTCGAAAAGTAGGCTCGCTAAAGCGGCAGGTGCGGAGCCAGCTGGCCAGATGAGAGATGAAAAAAGTGCACGCCGTTGTGGCGCGAAGCACATTTGGAAGTCAAAATGTACAAAGCACACCATTCTCGGACCACTTTTGGAAGTTGAGATGTCGAAAAAGTGCACGCCGTTGTGGCGCGAAGCACATTTCCAAGTCAAAATGTCCAAAACACACCAGGTTCGGACCACTTTTGGAAGTTGAGATGTCGAAAAAGTGCACGCCGTTGTGGCGCGAAGCACATTTTCAAGTCAAAATGTACAAAACACACCATTCTCGGACCACTTTTGGAAGTTGAGATGTCGAAAAAGTGCACGCCGTTGTGGCGCGAAGCACATTTCCAAGTCAAAATGTACAAAACACCACATGCTCGGACCACTTTTGGAAGTCAAGATGTCGAAAAAGTGCACGCCGTTGTGGCGCGAAGCACATTCTGAAGTCAAAAGTGTAAAAAAACTGAGGGTTTTGAGCCTTTTTTGACGTTAAGATGTCGAAAAAGTAGACACTGATTAACTTAACTAACTTGACTAACTTAACTAACTTCACTAACTTAACTACCCTAACTTCGACGACCACAGCAACACCAACAACAACAACAACAACAACAACAAGAACAAGAACAACAACAACAACAACAACACCAACCACAACAACTACAACTACAACTACAACAACTACAACAACAGCAACAACAACAACAACTACAACAACAACAACAACTACAACAACAACTACTACTACTACTACTACTACTACTACAACTACACTACACAACAACTACAACCACACAACAACTACAACTACAACAACTACAACTACAACTACAAAACAACTACAGCTACAACTATATGACTGCAACATACTGCAACTACACTACACTAATTACATTACACCACAACTACAACTCCACTACGCTACAACTACAACTACAGTTGCAGTACATCACACTACATCCAGCAGTTGTGGGTGAGGTGACCACTGCAACCATTGCAACCACTCCAGCAAACACAACTCCAACCACTTTTCGGTCAATCAGTGGATTCGCTCTGCCATCCGTGATTCACAACAACCAACGTCTCCTATAGGTTTCCTATTCTGAAACTTCCGCCACCGCCTTGTGCGGTACTACTGGTAAGTTATTCATGTTCCAAACCACCAACCAGAATCCAGTCATCACCATTTACCAATAGATAGATAGATAGATAGACAGACAGACAGATAGATAGATAGACAGACAGATAGATAGATAGATAGAGAGAGAGATATATATATATTTAAAATAAACTTATATACCATTCGGGTAAAACAGTAATAAACCATCCTCCAAATCACCATTTTTATCTTTTTTTAGCCATTCCCAGTCATGGGTGGTTTATGGCATTGTTTTTTCCCACATTATGCCACTCTCTATTTCACAATATACCCATAATACCAATGAATAACAATATATCATATTATATTACCTATTCTCTATTCCACAATATACCATCTATGGGTAGCTATGACAATACCTTTATAAATATATGACCATGAAAATAGTGATACCTTCTATCATATACCATATCTAAATATGTGTATCACAGTAATATTGGGTAAAACACTAACAAAGAATATATTCCAAAAAAAAACCACAGTACTATCTGGATATCATATGGAGGTTTGCTGAAATGGGGGTATCCCCAGTCATCCTCCATTTGATTTTCGGATTTCCATGAAATAAACCATTCAGCTATTGGGGAACCCATATGGCCATATAGAGATATCCATAGATCAATGGGTATATTATAAGTATATTATACCATTCTCTATTTCCATGTGGGTAAAACAATCATAAACCATCCTGGTTGGTGGTATACTTACCCCTCTGAAAAATATGAGTTGGTCAGTTGGAAAAATATTCTTCCCAACTGAATGGAAAGTCATAAGTTATTCATGTTCCAAACCAGCAACCAGCATCCAGTCATCACCATTTTCTTACTGGTGCTTAACAGGGAATGAGGGAATGATCCACAATAACTATCAATAATAATCCCATTCCCCTATTCCCATCCATTCCCTGCTTAGCACCAGTGAGCCTTTATAGTTTTTTAAGCATCCCCAGTCATGGGTGGTTTGAGGAACACAATCACCCGACACCTGCGGTTTCATCTCTCCAGAGCTGGGCAGCTCCGGAGAGCGTTCGCACAGCTCGAAGACGCGGACCGCCGCGCCAGCGGCCTGACAGCGCAGCGCCGGCGCGAAACCGGTGCCATGGGGCAACGTTTAGACGGGGAAACTGATGGGAAAACTGGGGAGAATGATGCGAAAACATGGGAAAACATGGGAAAATGGTGGGAAAACTTGGGAACGCTTGAACAAATCATGGGATACACAAACAGCCAACATGATGATTTAAACATGAAAAATGCAACTAACAATGATGGGATATTTTGTCATTAAAATATGGGGATGTAACCAACTCGGCCGGATTTTAATCTGAAGATTTTAAACATGGATCCAAGTGACAAGGGTAGCTGGGTAGGTCGTTCTTTCTTAAACAGTTTACTTGGAAGTGCAGATGTCGTAGTTATAGGTGGACATGTCACGGTAGTGGTGGTTTCTACCTCTGGTAAAAAAACCATTTGCAACCTCAACTCAGAAATATCTGCTTCCACCTTTCTAGCAGGATAACATCTAAATATCTGCCATAAAAATGGCAGAAAATCATGGATTTGAATATCTACCACTCAGCAATTAGCCAAATATCCCACATGCAATGACTCTTGGTCCCACTACATCCACCATCATATTTCCCCCTATGGATGGTCAATTCGCCTGGATCATGTTGGTCCAAAAATCTCCCAGCGTGGAGAAGTTGTTGTTCAACGTCTGCAGGTAGAACCTGAAGCCGCGCCGTGGCAGGTGAGAATCCATCTCATCGCTTGGCAAACGTGCCGGAACATGAGGTATAGCCAACCCCATCAACATACCCCGTGGTGATAGGCCATCCAGGTGGTGAGCTCATCCCAGGAATTCTTTGTCGAAATAGTGCCTCCAAGTGTATATGAGCCGATCGTAGACATGTTCATGATCAATATTTTGGAAAGGGATTCATAACCTAATTTGGACGAATCAATGAATCTGGTGATGTATCAATGTGAATGTGATATCAAGCAGCACCGTTCGCAATTTTCGGTCAGATTCCACCAGTGTGCTCATGATGGCCGGATGCATATTCATAGCTTATCACAATTATTCCCGAGAGCGTCTGAGCGCAGGGTTCTTCCAATAGTGGGGGTCTGTAAAACATCTTCTCATCTTCACATCTCATCTTCACATCCTCTCATCTTCACATCTGCTCATCTTCACATCCTCTCATCCTCTCATCTTCACACCTGCTCATCTTCACACCTTCCCATCTTCACATCTGCTCATCTTCACACCTTCCCATCTTCACATCTTCTCATCTTCACATCTGCTCATCTTCACATCTGCTCATCTTCACACCTTCATCTTCACATCCTCTCATCTTCACATCTGCTCATCTTCACATCTCTCATCTTCACATCTGCTCATCCTCACACCTTCCCATCTTCACATCTGCTCATCTTCACACCTTCCCATCTTCACATCTTCTCATCTTCACATCTGCTCATCTTCACATCTGCTCATCTTCACATCTGCTCATCTTCACATCTGCTCATCTTCACATCTTCTATCTTCACATCTTCTCATCTTCACATCTGCTCATCTTCACATCTGCTCATCTTCACATCTGCTCATCTTCACACCTTCCCATCTTCTCATCTTCACATCTGCTCATCTTCACATCTGCTCATCTTCACATCTGCTCATCTTCACATCTGCTCATCTTCACATCTGCTCATCTTCACACCTGCTCATCTTCACATCTGCTCATCTTCACATCTGCTCATCTTCACATCTGCTCATCTTCACATCTGCTCATCTTCACATCTTCTTATCTTCACATCTTCTCATCTTCACATCTTCTCATCTTCACATCTGCTCATCTTCACATCTGCTCATCTTCACATCTTCTCATCTGCTCATCTTCACATCTGTTCATCTTCACATCTGCTCATCTTCACATCTTCTTATCTTCACACCTGCTCATCTTCACATCTGCTCATCTTCACATCTTCTTATCTTCACACCTGCTCACCTTCTCTCTCATGCCTTCTTTTTATCTTTCTCTCTTAAGGCCGAGGGTGGTGCCGGCGGCGAGTCACGAAACGTCAACCCTTTCGCACGAAATGAGGGTCGACCGGCAAAAACTGAGGTAAAATTGCGAGTTTACTTGTGCCGGAGCAACCCTTTCGCACGAAATGAGGGTCGATCGGCAAAAACTGAGGAAAAATTGCGATTTGACTTGTCCCCGAGCAACCCTTTCGCACGAAATGAGGGTCGATCGTTAAAAACTGAGGAAAAATTGCGAGTTTACTTGTCTTTCGCACGAAATGAGGGTCGATCGGCAAAAACTGTGGAAAAATTGCGATTTTACTTGTGCCGGAGCAACCCTTTCGCACGAAATGAGGGTCGATCGTCAAAAACTGAGGTAAAATTGCGATTTTACTTGTGCCGGAGCAACCCTTTCGCACGAAATGAGGGTCGATCGGTAGAAACTGAGGTAAAATTGCGATTTTTCCTGTGCCGGAGCAACCCTTTCGTCTGTGTGTAAAAGCGTCTGTGTGTAAAAGCGTCTGTGTGTAAAAGCTCTGTGTGTAAAAGCGTCTGTGTGTAGGCTCTGTGTGTAAAAGCGTCTGTGTGTGTGTAAAAGCGTCTGTGTGTAAAAGCGTCTGTGTGTAAAAGCCTCTGTGTGTAAAAGTGTTTGTGTGTCAAAGCGTCTGTGTGTAAAAAGCGTCTGTGTGTAAAAGTGTCTGTGTGTAAAGGCGTCTGTGTGTAAAAGGTCTGTGTGTAAAAGCGTCGTCTGTGTGTAAAAGCGTCTGTGTGTCAAAGCGTTTGTGTGTAAAAGCGTCTGTGTGTAAAAGTGTTTGTATGTAAAAGCTTCTGTGTGTAAAAGCTTCTGTATGTAAAAGCTTCTGTGTGTAAAAGCTTCTGTGGGTAAAAGCTTTGTGTGTAAAAGCGTCAGTGTAAAAGCGTCTGTGTGTAAAAGTGTTTGCGATGCAAACTATTGTCTTGCACTTCTCACTATGTTGTCTTGATACTCCTCTTCTCGACTGCCTATAACACAGCTTTCATATACCGTTTCTAAAATTGCATCTCCATACTAACAAGAGAAGACCCTGCTCCTCTACGCTCTCGGGCCATCCGTCGTCTAGTTTTTGTTTGAAAATAGGGTACCCGGGTACCCTTAAATGCACTGGTTAATGCCCATAAAATGTGGTTGGCGAGATAATTACTATAATTCAGCAAGACTTGGGGTTGCCAAGGGTCCCCCAAAAACTTTCCCATATTTTCTATAGATTACCAAGATGGTGGGTGTTTCATTGGGAAATAGAAAATCAGCTGAAACTACAGGATGGGGCCCTCCAGTTAAAAGTTGGTTTATAACCCCATCCAAATATAGTTACAAGTATCATACACTATGGTTATTATAGATATAAACCAACTTAGCTAACTATGGGACCCCATCCTGTATCCTCTGTGATGAAAACTCTTGGGATTACCCCATGATTGTTGCGAAGGCATCCGAATATATCTCCCCGTGATATCAATATTCTCAGATTGTTCAAATGGAATTAACGTAACCCTGCCATCATATGAACGTTATGTCTATATTGGTATACCCCCCTATATCCCTGTCAAAAGCGAAGATGTTGGGAACACCCCAAAATTTCATGGCTAATCATCATGTTCCCCATTATTTGATGGTCCTATTTTCAGGACTTGGGCGTGCACTTGGGGTTGTTAATGGGTACAACTGTGGGATTCTAACCTCCATAAGTTGGGATGCGGGCCCCTATAATTATGTTGGTCATATGATGGTTGCGTTACATCCCATATTATATTCATATCATACATCCCCCATTATATCTTCACATGTAAATAAATATATGTATATATATATGTATACATATATATATGTATACATATATATATATATGTATATATATATAATACATATTTGTCAAACATATACTATATATTCCCATCATACAACTGGAATCAACCATCAACAAAATGCCGGATGAAGACTTTTCACCGAGCTGCACGAAGGAGAGGAGGCTGCTTGCGTTCATCTGACCTTGCACGACCACTTTGCCGCCGTAGAACAACACCAGCGCGGTGACGAGCTGGCCCAGTGGCGGTGGTTTTGGTGGGTTTCGGGGGGAATCTTGGCACTAAATCGATGGACAACTCCATGGTTTTAGCGGAAAATCTCTGGAACTGAATCTGACAATGGGAATATCGATGGGCGCAATTTTTGTGCGGAAATCAATAGGAATGTAAATGTGGCAATGGGGAAAAGCATGGAAATACACATGGGAAAATCAAGGAACATTGTCCATAAATCTGGCTGAATTGCTATGATTATTTCGTGTTGAGAATCTGTTGTCGCTGTTTGGGGATGATTCCCCCAGGTTCCCAGTGGTTCCCAGTGGTTCCCAGTTCGCCTGGGGGAGCATCATGGTGGAACTGAGGTATGCCAGATAGTAGGTGGCCCGCTTTTTCATCAATTTCCTGGTACAAAAGGGCGCCGCCGACACATAAGATGACATGTTAGAGATCATGGGACTGAAGAGATGAGGGAACCCTCAGAATCTTTGGATATTTAGTAAAGGATCTGAGCGAAATTTCGATATTGACATGGGGTAGCTGTAGTGTTACTTTGGTCACAAGCTAACATAGCTAACCTTTCGGAGAAACCACATTGAAACCACCGAAGATCAGGTCATTTTCGGCGACAACCTTCCTGACATCAGCAGTGTCTCCTGCAAAATCCCTCAAAACATAGAGTCTTCATGGGAATTTCCAGAATGTCTGCTGATACATGACGATAAATTCACGGTAAAAGTTGGTATAGCCTTTTCTATCAACGCTGATTGCTGGATTATATCCCCATGTTAGATGGTAACATCCTAATTAAACAACAATCAAACTCTTCATGTTTGCAACAAATGATGCACGCTGAACTCTTGAAGTCGTCATGACATTGACTCCAGCATTTAATCGCCTTTTCCAGACATTTTTTGCTGAAATTTCCGGAATTGTCGTATATAACCAAAACATGAATCATAGTGGTTTCAAGCCAGGAATTTTCGGGTTTTCCCCAGTTTTTCCAGATTTTTCAGCCAATGACATTGGGATTTCAACTTTCACCGCCGCCGAGCGCCTGTAGACCCCCATGGCCACCCCGAAGCGTTGCATTTCCAGCTCTTCGGCGGCGAAGCTGCGAACGGTGGACCTTTTTGGGCGCGGGCCAGCGCGGGCGAGCGCGGTTGGTTCGAGAAAATCCTGGAGAAATCGTGATTGAATGGGATTTACCCTCTAGTAAACATACAAAAACTATGGAAAATCACAATTTTTAATGGGTAAATCAACCATAAATGGCGATTTTCAATGGCCATGTGAGTTTACCAGAGTGTAATGGTGATAACTCCAATTTTACGTTTGGTTGATGTGGACAACCCAATAATTAATGATAATCCATCGATAATCAATTGAGAATTAATAATTCATTAGTGGCTAATTAGTGGATAAGTATTACATAATTTGGTAAGGCCAATAAACCTACCATTTGAGGATGATAGATATCACCCATTTATGGAGATAACGGCTTTTCATTAGGTTTACCATATTAAAGAAACTGGTAGAACTGGTACAGTATGATCAGCCATCCTTTAGTTAATTCTCTTCAAGCCTCTTGAACTTCATCGCAAGCATCTTGGCCGAGTTTGGGGGCCAGGGACCAGGTCACAAATGTTTTCCGAAAACGCTCCTACTCTTTGCTTGGAGAAAACCATGGAGATATGACCATCTTATGAGGATATTTACTAGGAATATATATATATATTATATTATATCATATTATATTATATTATATTAAATTATATTATATTATATTATATTAAATTATATTATATTGTATCATATATTATATCATATCATAAAATATTATATTGTCTTAAATCAAACTATGTTATATTAAACAATATCATATCATGTCATTTTATACCATATGAAATTATATTATACTATATCATATTATATGATATGATATTATATTAAATTAAATTGTATTATTTTAAACTAAATTAAATTAAATTATATTATACCATATCATATAATGTTATATCAAATCATGTCATATTATATTATATTATATCATGTCATATTAAATTAAATTAAATTAAATATTTTCATATCATATTAAATTATATATTATTTTAAATCATTCCATATTAAATTAAATTGTATTATATCATATCATATCAAATCATATTTTATTATATTGTATCATATCATATTTTATTATATCACATCAAATCAAATCACATAATATTAAATAATATTATATTCTTCTATATCAGATCATATCATATCACATCATATCATATTAAATGAAATTATATTATACTATATGAAATTATACTATATCATCTTATAACATATTAAATTATACTATATCGTATCATACCGTATTATATTATATTACATGATACTATATTATTTTACATTAAATCATATCATATTATATTACATTAAATTAAATCGTATCATATCATATCATTAAATTATATTGTATATCATTTTATTAGATCATTTTATATCATATTATAATAAATTAAATTAAATAATATCATATCATATCATACCATATTAAATTCTATTATATAATATTATATCATATTATATATCATATCAAATTATTTTTTTTTAATATTATACTATATTATATTGTAATATATCATATCATATCATATTATGTTATATTATGCTATATAATAAAATAAAAAATAATATAATAAAATATAATATAACATAATATAATATAATATAATAATATATAATATAACATAATATAATATAATAAATATTATATTCTACTATATATTGTAATATTATCTACATATTATATGATACATATATTTTATGCTATATATATATTATATCATATATTATATCATCATATATATATAGAGTATATATATATATAGAATGGGTGTACAATGAGAATCTCAACGGACATAACTAAAAATTAATGGGAATGTAATCGGAACATCATGCAGTAGCATCAGCGGCTATATGGGGATTTCTGGATGGGCTGGACAGCCTGGCTGCATCGGCCCTCATGCGGCACGTATGAAAGCTTCTCATTCGTGACAACACCAGGTAACCAGGTAACCTCCATGGGGAAAATACGGGAAATCCTGGTTTTTATCTCACATATAAGGGTTTCCTGTGCACTTTCCGCGAAATCAATCCGTTGATCTTCATTACCTAGAATATATCTCATAATTCTTGGTCATATAGCATCACCAATTTTTGGTTGGTTAAAACCACCATAAGCCGCATCGTGCTGCCCCCGAGTTATTTTTTTGTTTTTCTCCCCAGAGCGTCTGAGCGCAGGGTTCTTCCAATAGTGGGGGTCTGTATCTCATCTTCTCATCTTCACACCTTCTCTCACACCTTCTCATCTTCACATCTTCTCATCTTCACACCTTCTCATCTTCACATCTTCTCATCTTCACATCTGCTCATCTTCACATCTGCTCATCTTCACATCTTCTCATCTTCACATCTGCTCATCTTCACATCTGCTCATCTTCACATCTGCTCATCTTCACATCTTCTCATCTTCACATCTGCTCATCTTCACATCTTCACATCTTCACATACTCACATCTTCTCTCTCTCTCTCTCTCTCCCTCTCCCTCTCTCTCTCTCTCTCTCTCCCTCTCTCTCTCTCTCTCCCTCTCTCTCTCTCTCTCTCTCCCTCTCTCTCTCTCTCTCGCTCTCCTCTTTCCTCTCTCCTTTCTCTCTCTCCTTTCTCTCTCCCTTTTCTCTCTCTCGCCTTCTTTATCTTTCTCTCTTTAGGCCGAGGGTGGTGCCGGCGGGGAGTCACGAAAGTCAACCCTTTCGCAAAAAATGAGGGTCGATCGTCAAAAACTGAGGAAAAATTGCGAGTTTACTTGTCCCCGACCAACCCTTTCGCACGAAATGAGGGTCGATCGTTAAAAACTGCGGAAAAATTGCGAGTTTACTTGTCCCCGAGCAACCCTTTCGCACGAAATGAGGGTCGATCGTCAAAAACTCAGGAAAAATTGCGAGTTTACTTGTCCCCGAGCAACCCTTTCGCACGAAATGAGGGTCGATCGTTAAAAACTGAGGAAAAATTGCGAGTTTACTTGTCCCCGACCAACCCTTTCGCACGAAATGAGGGTCGATCGTTAAAAACTGAGGAACAATTGCGAGTTTACTTGTCCCCGAGCAACCCTTTCGCACGAAATGAGCGTCGATGCGCAAAAACTGAGGTAAAATTGCGATTTTACTTGTGCCGGACTTGTCTGTGTGTAAAACTTGTCTGTGTGTAAAAGCGTCTGTGTGTAAGAGTCTCTGTGTGTAAAAGTGTTTGTGTGTAAAAGTGTTTGTGTGTAAAAGTGTTTGTGTGTAAAAGCTTCTGTGTGTAAAAGCTTCTGTGTGTAAAAGCGTCTGTGTGTAAAAGACTGTGTGCAAAAGCGTCTGTGTGTAAAAGCGTCTGTGTGTAAAAGCGTCTGTGTGTAAAAGCGTCTGTGTGTAAAAGCGTCTGTGTGTAAAAGTGTCTGTGTGTAAAAAGCCTATGTGTAACAAGCGTCTGTGTGTAAAAGCGTCTGTGTGTAAAAGCGTCTGTGTGTAAAAGCGTCTGTGTGTAAAAGCGTCTGTGTGTAAAAGCGTCCGTGTGTAAAAGCGCTTGTGTGTAAAAGCGTCTGTGTGTAAAAGTCTCTGTGTGTAAAAGCGTCTGTGTGTAAAAGAGCCTGTGTGTAAAAAGCGTCTGTGTGTAAAAGCGTCTGTGTGTAAAAGCGTCTGTGTGTAAAAGCGTCTGTGTGTAAAAGCGTCTGTGTGTAAAAGCGTCTGTGTGTAAAAACGTCTGTGGGTAAAAGCGTCTGTGTGTAAAAACATCTGTGTGTAAAAACATCTGTGTGTAAAAGCGTCTGTGTGTAAAAGCGTCTGTGTGTAAAAGTGTTTGTATGTAAAAGTGTTTGTGTGTACAAGCTTCTGTGTGTAAAAGCTTCTGTGTGTAAAAGCGTCTGTGTGTAAAAGACTCTGTGTGCAAAAGCGTCTGTGTGCAAAAGCGTGTGTGTGTGTAAAAGCGTGTGTGTGTAAAAGCGTCTGTGTGTAAAAGACTCTGTGTGTAAAAGCGTCTGTGTGTAAAATAAAAGCGTCTGTGTGTAAAAGCGTGTGTGTGTGTAAAGCTTCTGTGTGTAAAAGCCTCTGTGTGTAAAAGCGTCTGTGTGTAAAAGCGTCTGTGTGTAAAAGCGTCTGTGTGTAAAAGCGTCTGTGTGTAAAAGCGTCTGTGTGTAAAAGCGTCTGTGTGTAAAAGCGCCTGTGTGTAAAAGCGTCTGTGTGTAAAAGCTTCTGTGTGTAAAAGCGTCTGTGTGTAAAAGTCTCTCTGTGTAAAAGTGTTTGTGTGTAAAAGTGTTTGTGTGTAAAATCGTCTGTGTAAGAGTGTCTGTGTGTAAAAATCTCTGTGTGTAAAATTCTCTGTGTGTAAAAGTCTCTGTGTGTAAAAGTTTTTGTGTAAAATCGTATGCGGGTAAAAGCCTCTGTGTGTAAAAGTCTCTGTGTGTAAAAGTCTCTGTGTGTAAAAGTGTTTGTGTGTAAAAGTGTTTGTGTGCAAAATCGTCTGTGTGTAAAAGCGTCTGTGTGTAAAAAGCGTCTGTGTGTAAAAGTCTCTGTGTGCAAAAGCGTCTGTGTGCAATATCGTCTGTGTGTAAAAGCGTCTGTGTGTAAAAGTCTCTGTGTGCAAAAGCGTCTGTCTGTAAAAAGTTCTGTGTATGAAAAACTTTACAAAAATACGATGCAAACTATTGTCTTGTACTAGTCATATATTGTCTTGATACTACTCTTCTCGTCTGCCTATAATACATCTTTAATGTATTAGCTTGTAATATAGTGTCTCCATACTAACAACAGAAGACTCTGCTCCTCTACGCTCTCGGGCAATCCGTCGTCTAGTTTCTAAATCGTAGTAACTCGTTGGATATATCTACCATAAACCAAAGTTATGAGAATCACTCTTCATAACATTAGCATAGACCCTGGCAGTCATCAGGCTTGGAAGATTACTGAAACCATTTTCAAAATTGCTTCTTTTCAGCGTCAACAAGTTGATTTTACCAGAGGCTATGTAGATCCCGGTTCCAACTTAAAGCGATTCCAAAGTGGGCTGCAGATTGAGGACGTGACATGTTGCCTAAGGATTCATTGGCTACCGCATTGGCATCTGCCAAGGACTTCTGTGCCTCTTCACCTTGCTCTGGCCATCACTGGAAAAACGACGACATTTCATGGAGGTTATGATGGGAATATCATGGGAATATCATGGGGGTTATAGTTGCCGTATCATCAATGGATATGATGTGTTTTTTTTTGGTGGGGCCTCCAAGTTGGCAGTCAGTCATGGGATGTCTGGAATATCTCGTTTTGTCTCGTTTTCAGCCCCAGAGATACGGATATTTCCCCAGATGATATCCGATATTGTCGCGTTGAGATTCTATAATGGCCATAAAAAGTTGGAATCAACTATAAACACATGGAATTTCTTCGAATAATTCAGTGGAAACTCCATCTGGGCTGACTTTTGATAAAGAAGCTGCTCAGAATTAAGATGAATTAAGTATCAATCATCACTATCATTGGAGATTCATCATAATCCAAAATGGCGATCTCTATTTCAACCACCATATCCCAATCATCGAATGGGCAATGAGGATCCTGCAAACTTAACATTGTCATATGGTCATGTCCGGTAAATATCCCCCAATGATATCTTATTATATCTACAATAATTGTTGAGTATACAGTTATAATATATATATATATGTATATACAGTTCTATCCCCTAAACCGTAGATTGTCCCAAAAAAACACTATGGCCAGCATGACAATTTTTCTTGTGGCTAACATTAATATATCAATATGGAGGTGTCCTAAACTGGGGCACCCGCAAATAATCCAAATTAGAACAATTTAGTAGTGAAACACCTGGTGACTTTGGGGGTCCCACATTTTAAGAAACCCCTATATGGCTCTATATCTTCCATGATATCCCCATCATATTGATGGGATGGAGAACTAATACACGGGATATAGAACCATAGCTATCATACGTATAAAAATCCAATTTTTCTCAGCAACACTATCCTTTTATATGGGACGATATGGTTCTATATCCCATCACATCCCAATCATATTTCCTGGCAAATTACACTATTTCACTAACCTGAAACTTGCGGCCACTTGGGAATGATTCCCCTATACATTCACCACGATATTCCAGCAAGGTCACGTGATACGTGAGGCCACCAACTAATTTCCAGTTACCAACTAATCATCAGGATATCCTTATGAAACCACCACAAAAAATCGCTAATTCTTACATGATCAATGGCTTAATAAACCATTGGGCAATTTCCATTCATTCATCTTATCAATCCATTGGGCAAACAACACCATTTTATGAGAAAAACAAATTGCCATAGTCTTACTTGTGCTAAACGTAGGGAATTTTAGGGAATGATCCACAATCACTAGTAATAGTCATCCCAGCAACCCCCATTCCCATCCATTCCCTACGTTTAGCACCAGTAAGTATTCCATGGAAATTCTCCAAGCCACTGATCTGCTGAAAGGTGTTGCTGAACTTCATGGAGATCTGTACCACTGCAGGGACCGTCACAAAGGCCACGCAGGTCAGAGGGGTGGTGATGGAAAACCTGGGTTCGGAACACCGAAGCTTGGGACAACAGGGGAAAACTGGGGAAAATCATCATTTTTCATAGGAACGCAGGGGTAAACTGGGGAAAATCGTCATCAAAAGTGGGTTTGGGGGTTTGAAAATTGAAAGGAAAACCAATCATTTCGTGGCTAAGGACATCATTTTCATCATTAAAGTAGCCATTATGGGTATGTACACAATTTACGGATGCACCAAAACGGACAATCAAACTCTACAACACTATAGATGAAGTTTCATGGGCAAAAGATATGCTTTTAATTCACAAAATGGAGATATCAATTATCGATTGTAAATGGTGAACCGGTCCAGATTAGCGGGTTCAGTCCATTTAACAGGAAAACATCAATCAAAATGCATACAAATGAAGGAAATGTAGGAAAATCATCACCCAATATGGATATCAACATCATATCAGCATCATATCAGCATCAATAGATGGATATTTATTGGAATCATATGGCTATATAAGAGGCAAATTCGTGGAATGGCAACTTGGTTGATGATCAACCACCAAACATATAAATGGAGGATTTGCCAGCTAGCCATGGGTGAAAACCGTCCCGCTTCGTCATGGCAATATGTTCAAACCTATCTAACCAACCGAAACTGGGATGACTGGGATGCGACCAACACAAAAGTAGTGGAGTTCTTTTGCTTTTCTTATTGGCTTGATATGGGTTTGTCTGAGAATATGGTAACCCCAACACATTACTTGTTTTTTTAAATGGGGGTGCCCCGAAAACATCCAACTTAGACCATTTCAGTATTAAAACCCATGGTGGCTTGGGGATCCTCAATGACTTAAGAAACCTCCAATTATAGACTCTTAAATCAATGATATATACCATTCTGGTTGATGAATTCCATTTAATGTGGGTAAAACAATGTCATTTTTACCACCCATGACTGGATATGGTAACCTAATCCCAGCTATAAAAATGGTGATTTAGGGGGATGGTTTATGGCATTGTTTTACCCACATTAATCCAATATTGGGGGTATATCCCCTTTTCAGACACGCGGTTGGTTTGGATCAGGAACATAAAGGCCAAAGTGGCCACAATGGAGACTAAGGTCCGTAGGAAGACATTCCTGGGAGCTGTCGGAGGTTCGAAAAAAAGGGTTTTCTTAAGCCATGGGGGATCCCCAGAGGTTTCAATGCTAGAATGGTCTCATATAATGTAGTGGATCATTTGTAAGAATTTCTCTATACATGGGGGTTTTAGCCCAAAGAAATAAAAATTCCCTACTAAACCAAAATGTCTAGGGGGTGTTGAATGTTAAGAAGGGATATCCTGCAAGTAAACAACTTGTTTCACTGCGTGGGTTTGAGGGCCTGGCGGCCTGGTGGGCTTAGGAATTGTGGGATACCCCCACAACGACAATTCCTTTCGGATTCCAAACCACCCAAAAACAAACCACTTGTTAGTCATGGATTTACAAAACAAACCAAGATGGGAATGACTCATTATTTTGGCATTGAATATGCAGGCTGGGATGGGAAGTCAGGAACTCTGAGGTGAACTCCAACTCCCATTGATGAACTCATCCAACACAAGCAGCTGATCGCAAGAGTTTAATTGAACATTCACCTAGACGAAACTGTTTCAAGCAATGAACTACTTGTAAGTGAAGTCCAACTGCTTTCTGGTGATCAGATTTTCTGATCCCGACTTCACCGTAGCAATGCTTAAAGATCTTTTTCAGCTCATACTCCCAGGAACTGACATGAACCGTCAAAAAAAACAGCAAGCAGTAGCGCTGTTGTTCCCGAAAATCACCGAGCATCACGTTCAAATAGGCTTGATCCACCACCTGCTGACAATCTTGTGTCATACGTGAGGTCAACTCACCGATCTGCGTCACGTCGAAGAAGCCGATGTCTTGCTGCATCAAAGAAGCGAAGAGGGTACCTGGGACCCTTGGGACCCTTGGGACCCTTGGGACCCTTGGGACCCTTGGGACCCTTGGGACCCCTGGGCTGCCACGGCCCACGATAAATCTTGGATGGTTGAAACCTTGGGATGTTTACCACCTATCAACTGCTGGATTTCGCAACCATCCACAGTATCTTCTACCAAGAAACAAATGTTCATTTGGGTTTACCAAAAGTAACCCCCGGTCACTAATCCGTTCATTACCCCTGGCCCATCTAAGCCAATGTTCAAAATCCGTAATGTCATTAGTTTTGATCCTGGTGGAGAACCGGACTCCTATTGTGGATCAGTTCGTTGGCCTTAACATCAATTACAAACTCCAACGAGGCACCACCTATCAATGAAACATCCCCACAGAATGCTCAACCCCACCATTCCCAACACTCATCTCCACCAACCCCATAGTGTTCTCCCAAAACATACTACAAGGTGATGCACCCCCAGTGATAGGTTGGTTTATATCCCATTAAGTATAGATATATCTACTATAACCCCAAGTTATTGGAGCTATGTTCACCAATTTAGCTAACATCAATCAGCTTTAAATCCCATTAATTCCCCATTGTTTGTTGCTGTTTGTTGCTGCTTGTTGCTGTTTGTTGCTTAACATCACCATTTTCCTATGGTTTTTTCCACCCTTTCATCAGCTTTCATCAGCTGCCCTGGGATCCCCACAGCGCAAGCGTTGCGCGAGGCGTCCGCCCATCAGGAAGAAGGTGGCTCCGCGACAGGCCGAGAACACCGCGGAGGCGCCCGCCGCCAGCAGCAGCGAAAGGACTGGCAGCCTGTAGGGCCGCGAGGCTAAGGTGCCTTGCTCCTCGGCCAAAATGATCCTTAGCAACGGGGGGGATACCCTCTGGTAATACAAATAAACCTCTGGGATAGTTTATTATTGGCTTTATAACATTACAGGATGGGGTTGTTCGAGCGATCGCGTTTGCCGAACATGGTTGTGGCTGAATTCTATGGTTTATGGTGAATATAACTATAGGCAATTGGGGGTATAATGCAACTTATACTTGGGGGACACCCCAATTGTGGGGGTTTCCTAGAATGATGGATCCTCAAAACTATAGGTTTCGATGACTGGGATATCATAAAATTATATAAAAATGATGAATTCATAGTTGGGTTGTATAGATATAAATTGTTGGGTTATATGAATCATATCCCATTTAACGGTACTAGAAGGGGATCAACCAACCTGGGGCTTTCTTAAGTCATGGGGGGTCAGCTACCATCGGTTTCAACACATTTTAGTGGTCTAAGGCGTTGGATGCTTTGGGGGGTACTTCCATTTTGGAGTTGGAGAATGGGAATTTACCCTCTGGTAAACGTTTTCAGTTTGCTATGGAAGCCATGGTCCATAGAAATAGTTGATTTACCTCTTCAAAATGGTGATGTTCAATAGCAAACTGTTAGTTTACCAGAGGGTAATGGGAATAAACAATCGTTAATGAGGATCTCATGAGGACACCTAACTGAACAGTTAGGCAATTTGAGGAGAGTTTCCACGGTCGGAGGATAAATCACCCGGAATGTAATACCATTTAGGCCCAGAAATGGCTGGTCATGTTTATGAACCCTTCAGTGCCAAAGTGATCCTTGATGAACGCAGAAACCAGACAATTTCCAAGTTACAACACTTAATGTTTAGGTGATGCCTACTCCGATACAGACTTAATGGTCATAATGGTGGTATATTCACATATCATGGGAGAACAAACATAGAAACCAAGTTGTACAGGATGGGGCCCTCCAGTGATGTTAGTTGGTTTATGGGGCCCCACCCGGTTATATACTAATAAGTATCATACACTATGGTTATCATAGTTATGTTCACCAACTGAACGCTAACGAACTGGGGAAGAAATCCTGTAGTGCTTGGTGAATTTCTTGGAGATTCCTGGGCCGAAATGGGAGAAACCGAGATACCGAGAAACATCGGAAAACGATGCCGAAGATCTGCTCAAAGAAAACATAAACTGCAGGATAGGGCCCCAGTTCGTTAGCTAAGTTGGTTTATAACTATAATACCATAGTGTATGATACTTATAACTATATTTGGATGGGGTTATAAACCAACTTATAACTGGAGGGCCCCATCCTGCATCTATGATTTACCTTCGGACATGGCCAATTTGCAAGTTCCATCTAAAGACAATGGGGGTGTATCTCCAAAAATCAGGCGTACGAATCCTTGATCAAAATGGAGGTTTCTTTTGCGTGGAAAATCATTAAAGCACATGGGGGATTCTCCGGTCATGTTTGATGAGGATCATCATCTAGCAACGAAGGTATAGCCTCTACATTCCCAGTATATTCCCATCATATTCCCAATATCTTCACAGTATATCCCCAGTCATCTAGCAACAAAGGTATAGAATGCAGGGCCAAGGAGCTCTTTCATATTTGGGGAAGCGGGGGAAGGGATGATATTCCACTTTCCCACTATATTCCCTTTATATTCCCCCCGTCATATTCCTACCATATTCCCATCATATTCCCACTATATTCCCAGTGTATTCCCATGATATTCCAAGGAGCTGACTAATGGTCTGGCTGATGTAGTGTGGAATCAGCACATCTGCAATAGCGGCCACCACTAAGAAGATTCCCGCCTGGATCAAGAGGGGCCACTCGTGGGCCACCAGTCTCAATAACTTCCACACCTGAGACGGACTGGATTCAGCTGATGTACCCTCTGGTAAACATACAAAAAGCCATGGAACATCACCATTTTTAACAGGTAAATCGGCAAATAATCAACTATAAATGGACCATTTTCCATAGCTATGTTAGTTTACCAGAGGGTAACTAACCATGTGGCGGTTTCTGAAGTCATAGATCCCCAGGTCACCATGGGTTTGCTAAAATGGTTCAATGACTTGGATGATTTTGGGGGTACCGCCGTTTTAGGACACCTCTATTTCATGGGGACATAACAATGGAAAATAAGGGAAGAACCAACAATCATTTGGTAATTTAACATAGCCATGGAAAATGGCTCATTTATAGATGGTTTACCTAAAAAAAATGGTGATTTTCCATGGCTATGTTAAAAAACCAGATGGTACCATCTGGTAACAGGAACAAGTGACTATGGTGTAGATGACCCATTTAGTTCGATGATTTGCCGTACATGGTGGTTTTATGGGGATATACAACCAACAAACCATCGGAACACACTGGGAATATTACATGAACTCGCTGGTTTCCTGAGATGCTGGGGTTCGGAACATTTTCTGAGGCAAGGGGATGAATATGGATGAATCCCCACGCCGGAAACAAAAGGAACACACATGCATAACATAACTGGTTGGTGGTATACCTCCCCCTTTGAAAAATATGAAAGTCAGATTGGATCATCATCCCAACTATTGGGGAAAATAAAAAATGTTCCAAACCACCAACCAGATAACTATGGGAAATCACCATTTTAAATAGGTAATCAATGTAAAGGGCAGTGGCTTCCAGTTCGCAAGTGGCAACTCTATCCGAAAATCATCTCATACCATCTCCAAACAAAGATAAACATCGGAGACCCGGTAAAACTGCAGAAAAAACCACCATTGAATATCCACCCGAAGAGACAGAAACAACACATTGCCAGCCCCAAGAGTTTCACCCCAAAGAAAAAGGACGAAATCATGTTCAACTCCTGATTTTTGTTGCTTCAACCACCATATTCATGGGTGAAATCTTCACCCAAATCATCCTTGCTTAGAAATGGCGATATTTCGTGGTCTTTTTTAACCAGTTTTACGGTGAAACCCACCAGTATGAGGGTAAATGATTGATATTCCGTCCATGATACTCCCCATTGGAGGTTAACTCCACATTCACATCCCTATTAGTCATCACCTTTGTCATTATACCACCATTGTCCTCGGCTTAATGATCTGAAATCAAAAACATCCGGGGTGAAATCCCCATTATACACCAGTTTTGCTGAAGGTAAGTGACTCATACTTCCATGATACTTCCATTTACTGGCGGTCAAATCCCCCCGCCCAAAAAAAAATATATATATATATACATGCATATTCCCATGATATTCAGTCATAAGCCATAGATATGATGGCGAATCCAGTTGATGAACCAATGACCCAGTCGTTGACGGTTTTATCATATACCCTCCAATGGTTAAATCCCGAATAATATCGAATGTGCATGTTCCATATCCAGAAATTCCCATCATATTCAAATCACAAACCACTGATATTCTCACTTACTGGCGCTTAAATCCCCAATTGTTCAATCATATTCCCACGATCTTTGCCCTCCAATGGTAAAATCCCCACCATTGGAGCCATTTTTCCATCAGCACTGGAGGTGAAATCCCCATTATTGGAGCCATGGTTTCCGCCCTATAGGCTATAAGCGTTTCAATTTTGAAACTTCCCCCGGCTTGCCCGGGTACTTGTATTCCCATGATACTCCATTATCAGGTTAAATCCCCGATGAACATCTCCAATTTTTCTATCAACACTGGAGGTTAAATCCTTATCATCCAATGTTCGATACCCTCTGGTAAACAAACAGTTTGCAAACTCTTTTTGTAATAAATTTCCAGAGGGTATCCCATTCATGTCCCGTTCATATCCCATTCATATCCCATATAAAGTCCCATTAAATCATGATCAATCCCATTGAATCACTATAAAATCACTATCCCGTGTTGCCACCCAAGGCACCGCCGAGTCCTTCTTCTTTCGCACCGTCGCCTCCGGCGACTCCAGCGTCGGCGTGGACGCGTCCGTAGTCGCGGGGAGTTCGACGTCCAACGCTTGGGGCTCCACGGTGGCGAGGCGGAGAAGCTGCGCCAGGCTCTGGTAGGTTTCCCCGAGAGCACCTGGGTTTGTTTAGCTAGATATACAATGGGTGGCCCATGGGAAACAGAAGGAAACTATAGGAAAATTGTGATTTTACAAAGGAAAATGAGAATTTCATGGGATTGCTGATTGATGTCAGCTAAGTTGGTGAACATAACTCCAATCACATTTGGGTTGGTTAGGGTGTTATGTCTATTAGTTGTTATTAGTTCTGAAAATTACAAACTAACTTAGCTTGGGGGCACCACCTTGTAGGGGATGAATCTATAAAATGAAACTGTTTTGTACAAGAAAGCTATCTCAACATGATGGGTGAACATATCTAATACGAAAATTACGATTTCACAAAATAAGGGATTTCGATGGATTTACAGAACTGGGCTTGTTTAAATATGTTGGTCATTTTTGGTGTCCACAAGAATACCCCAGAGTGATGTTTAATGGTTTCTCGATGTTTCTCGGACACTCCTGAACTAAAGAACTACAGTAGCAACATCAATCAGTTGGTCGGGTGATCAAATCAAGTTATGAACAGCGTCCCTGGTGATTCTATATTAGGACTCAACCATCGAATCTTTAGGGCTGCTGTGTTTCAAGCGAATCCCACGAGAGAAAAATGTAGAATCCTGGAAAAGTCGCGGTGGGAAAAGTCGCGGTGGGCCGGAAAAAAACTCAAAACCACCGATATATTGCGGATTCAATCGGCAGGTTCATATACCAGAGGGTCTGGAACCAGAGGATGTCCTTCGGAAAAGAAAACATGTTCAGAGAAAGACAAGGGAAAGGATGGCAAAGCAGATTCTCGAGGAGTGAGTTTCTTCTACAATGCCCTGGATTTAAAAACAACATGGACTGAACAAATCCTGGTTTCCCAAGGAAATGATCTCCAAATGGCGGAATTTCCATGTCTTTCTCGGCCGCACGACACAATCCATAGATCGGCCCAGCTACACATTAAACTCAGCAGCAAAAAACTCCAAATTTCCACGTCGTTGTCCCGAAGTTTGGGTGGATCTGAGATCAAACGAACCATGCAGAGCACCACCACCAGGGTCAGCCCGACATATGGAAATGCCTCATGCAGGATGAAATTTATGCGACTCGAACCACCTGACCGTTGGCAGTGTCAGATTGTATGACCAGTGGATGGTGGACGAAGCAACTGGGAACGCCTATCAATCAGAATTTTCCCATGTCCTAATCACTCGGATGATACCTTGGTCAAGTGGTTGGCAAGTGGGTCATATCATATACCCATTCACGTTTCCCAAACAATGTGTCATGAATCGTTGGGCTAAGGTAAAACAAAACCGATAAATTGCGCTTAAATTAGATCTCAACAAAATCCGCAATTATCCTGTGTAAATTCACGCTGTATCCTCGTTCTATCCTAATCTCAAGAGCTTAGAAATTTAGTTACCGAAGTCCAGGAGGCTTGGCCAACTCATCCAAAAATCGCGAAGGGAAATCAACTTTTACGGCCACCAGCTAACATACCATTTTACGGATGATGTCCCCATCAAAACATGGGGATGTCTAAACGCCTTTCCAGTTTCGATTGCTAAAGGTCAATTTTCACATTCTCCGAGTGTCCAAAATTGCCACTGACCAACCATTTACGCGACTTGGGGGTGCATCCCAGAACCGCAAGCGGGCAATAACCATATGCAACGAACTAGTTCGTTCGATGGAGTATCCACAGTCTAATGGGTTCTCAGCCACTTGCGCATCCAAACAATGGTCAAAACAATTGTTACCGATCTGCCATTCAACTTCAAATGGGAATATCAACCGCAAACCACTTGATTCAATGTTAGCTCCTCAAAAAACACTCAAACCTTCATTGTTCTCTTACATCTTCATTAAATGGAAGTTCCTGAAATGTACCCCAAATCATCCAAGTCATGAGATCATATTGGTATTGAAACCCATGGTTTTTGGAGACTTCCCGTGACATGTTGGACCATCCCAATTCACCGCCGCACCCCGCCTGATGCTCGTGCATGGCGACGTTGCAAGGCGAGGGTCAGCAGGAGGCTGAGCCAAAGTAGTCGCAAGAGGCAGCAGATCAAAGGCCCCCAAAGGGACCAACCTGGGCCAAGTTCGACGAACTTGGAAATTGATTGCGGAAAAAATGATCAAAAACCTGCGAAGGGTTCCTTTCGAAGAGCGGCTCATATATATATATGTATATATATATATAGATATACATAAGAACACACACACACATATATACATAAATTCATGTTCATATTCAAACTCATATATTCATATTCATCATCATCTTCATCATCATCAAAACCATCATCATTATCTTCATCATTTTGTTTTTCTTTGTCATCATCATCGGCATCTTCAACTGTCAAGAATACAAATGTATAGTTGCAGGCAAAAGCATCTACACCTCTACACTTGCAAATATGCAGGTGTAATGGTGTAATGGTACAGGTGTACAGGTGAAGGTGGCACATGTGTCTCTCCATGTGGTCTCGAAAAGTTGGTCCAAAAAATTCACATCTTTCCTCGCTTAAGGAATCTTCAAGCGCTTCTTGAACGCAGTCGCGACATGGCCAGATGGCTCTACACATAAGTATGGATATAAACAAATCACACCATGTATTGATTATTGATTGGTAAATCGAAAGTCCATATATATAAAACAATCAGAAAGGTGCATACAAAAATCTGCCTATCTATCTGTCTGTCTGTCTGTCTGTCCCCAACACCCATCTATTACATGTTCCGCGCGTTGCATTTGCTCAGCTGCATTGCGCAATAATACTTAAACAATTTTTCTTGACATGTTACTCTCCGGTAAACAAATGTAGCTGCGGTTTTTCTAGCCTAGCTACCAGAATAGGCTGTCAGACTAGCGTGTTCCCCAGACACCCATAGCATCAACAATAAACAAGTAAGAAAAAGCTTGAACAAGAGCCCACTAACATAGCTAACATAGACCCGGGCAAGCCGGCGGCGGAAGTTTCCCAAACATAAATGACCTATAGTTCAAAGACAACCTGTCCCGACCGTGTCCTTCCCTCGACACTCCACACCTCACACTGCACACTGCACTCTTCGCACTCCAAACTTCAGGCTTCACACTCCACACTTCACACTCCACACTTCTCACTGCTTCCTTCACACTCCAAACCTCACACTTCACACTTCACACTGCACTCTTTACGCCCCACACTTCGCACTGATCTAAACCTACGTGGAACAAAAAAACACTAATGCGACAAAATGGAGAAACTCTGCGGACAAATCACTGTGGCAGCCTTCATGCAGCCACTCCAATACGATTTACGAAGTCGAGCTGCAAAAGACAATAGTATGACAAATGCAGCCACAGCACGAAGCAACCTTGACGCAGCCATTACAATGCGATCTGCAGAGACTGAGTTGCAAAACACAATAGAACTACGCGCAACGGCGTCGGAAATTGTAGCTCCAAAACCGGATCTCGACGCCAGAGCGAAAAAAAGACGATTTTGAAGCACTTTTTAAAAGGATTTTTAGAAGGAAAATCACTAGCGCCAAAATGGAGAAAATCTGCTGACAAATCACTGTCGCAGCCTTCATGCAGCCACTCCAATACGATTTACGAGATCCAGCTGCAAAAGACAATAGTATTACCAATGCAGCCACAGCACGAAGCAACCTTGACACAGCCATTACAATGCGATCTGCAGAGACTGAGTTGCAAAACACAATAGAACTACGCGCAACGGCGTCGGAAATTGTAGCTCCAAAACCGGATCTCGACGCCAGAGCGAAAAAAAGACGATTTTGAAGCACTTTTTAAAAGGATTTTTAGAAGGAAAATCACTAGCGCCAAAATGGAGAAAATCTGCTGACAAATCACTGTGGCAGCCTTCATGCAGCCACTCCAATACGATTTACGAGATCCAGCTGCAAAAGACAATAGTATTACCAATGCAGCCACAGCACGAAGCAACCTTGACGCAGCCATTACAATGCGATCTGCAGAGACTGAGTTGCAAAACACAATAGAACTACGCGCAACGGCGTCGGAAATTGTAGCTCCAAAACCGGATCTCGACGCCAGAGCGAAAAAAAGACGATTTTGAAGCACTTTTTAAAAGGATTTTTAGAAGGAAAATCACTAGCGCCAAAATGGAGAAAATCTGCTGACAAATCACTGTGGCAGCCTTCATGCAGCCACTCCAATACGATTTACGAGATCGAGCTGCAAAAGACAATAGGATTACCAATGCAGCCACAGCACGAAGCAACCTTGACACAGCCATTACAATGCGATCTGCAGAGACTGAGTTGCAAAACACAACAGAACTACGCACAACGGCGTCGGAAATTGTAGCTCCAAAACCGGATCTCGACGCCAAAGCGAAAAAAAGACGATTTTGAAGCACTTTTTAAAAGGATTTTTAGAAGGAAAATCACTAGCGCCAAAATGGAGAAAATCTGCTGACAAATCACTGTGGCAGCCTTCATGCAGCCACTCCAATACGATTTACGAGATCCAGCTGCAAAAGACAATAGTATTACCAATGCAGCCACAGCACGAAGCAACCTTGACGCAACCACCCGACACTGCGGGAACGATCCTACAGTTGCAAAGCACAATGGAATTCCATCGGCAACTCATCCACCAGCAACACTTGCAATCCCATTTACAGTGAGGGAACGATCCTAGAGTTGCAAATCACAATGGAATTCCATCGGCAACTCATCCACCAGCACCACTTGCACCACCAATCCCATTTACATTGCGGGAACGATCCTACAGTTGCAAATCACAATGGAATTCTGTCGACCGCACATGCACGAAACACAGGTGAAACCCCATTTACAATGCGGAACCGATCCGAGACCGATCCGAGAATGATCCGAGACCGATCCGACCACACACGAGACCGTCTCGCAACCGTCGCACCGCAGAGGTAGATCATCGAGGTTCGGGGACGGACTTTGTATGGAAAAACATAGGGTTTCATGCATCTGCTATCTCTCAAAAACGCATTTCGTGCGAGACTTCCTTCACAACTGCATCGGCAACTCCTCCACCAGCACCACTTGCAATCCCATTTACAGTGAGGGAACGATCCTATAGAGTTGCAAATCACAATGGAATTCCATCGGCAACTCATCCACCAGCACCACTTGCAATCCCATTTACATTGCAGGAACGACCCTACAGTTACAAATCACAATGGAATTCTGTCGACCGCACATGCACGAAACACAGGTGAAACCCCATTTACAATGCGGAACCGATCCGACCATGATCCGAGCATGATCCGACCACACACGAGACCGTCTCGCAACCGTCGCACCGCAGAGGTAGATCATCGAGGTTCGGGGACAGACTTTGTATGGAAAAACATAGGGTTTCGTGCATCTGCTATCTCTCAAAAACGCATTTCGTGCGAGACTTCCTTCAAAACTCCATCGGCAACTCCTCCACCAGCACCACTTGCAATCCCATTTACAGTGAGGGAACGATCCTAGAGTTGCAAATCACAATGGAATTCCATCGGCAACTCATCCACCAGCACCACTTGCAATCCCATTTACATTGCAGGAACGATCCTACAGTTGCAAATCACAATGGAATTCTGTCGACCGCACATGCACGAAACACAGGTGAAACCCCATTTACAATGCGGAACCGATCCGAGACCGATCCGACCATGATCCGCCCATGATCCGACCACACACGAGACCGTCTCGCAACCGTCGCACCGCAGAGGTAGATCATCGAGGTTCGGGGACGGACTTTGTATGGAAAAACATAGGGTTTCGTGCATCTGCTATCTCTCAAAAACGCATTTCGTGCGAGACTTCCTTCAAAACTCCATCGGCAACTCCTCCACCAGCACCACTTGCAATGCCATTTGCAGTGCGGGAACGATCCTACAGTTGCAAATCACAATGGAATTCCATCGGCAACTCATCCACCAGCACCACTTGCAATCCCATTTACATTGCGGGAACGATCCTACAGTTGCAAATCACAATGGAATTCTGTCGACCGCACATGCACGAAACACAGTTGAAACCCCATTTACAATGCGGAACCGATCCGACCATGATCCGACATGATCCGACCACACACGAGACCGTCTCGCAACCGTCGCACCGCAGAGGTAGATCATCGAGGTTCGGGGACGGACTTTGTATGGGAAAAACATAGGGTTTCGTGCATCTGCTATCTCTCAAAAACGCATTTCGTGCGAGACTTCCTTCAAAACTCCATCGGCAACTCCTCCACCAGCACCACTTGCAATGCCATTCTAACTCTTTCTTTGACTAACTCTTTCCCTGACATTCTAAAAGTTACAATTAACTCTGTCCCTAACTAACTCTTTCCCTCACTAACTCTTTCTTTGACTAAATCTTTCCCTGATGAACTCTTCCCTAACTAACTCTTACCCTCACTAACCCTTTCTTTGACTAACTCTTTCCCTGATGAACTCTTTCCCTAACTAACTCTTTCCCTCACTAACTCTTTCTTTGACTAACTCTTTCCCTGATGAACTCTTTCCCTAACTAACCTTTCCCTGACTAACTCTTTCTCTCTTTTCCTCACTAACTCTTTCTTTGACTAAATCTTTCCCTGATGAACTCTTTCCCTAACTAACTCTTGCTTTGACTAACTCTTTCCCTGATGAACTCTGTCCCTCACTAACTCTTTCCCTCACTAACTCTTTCTTTGACTAACTCTTTCCCTGATGAACTCTTTCCCTCACCAACTCTTTCTTTGACTAACTCTTTCCCTGATGAACTCTTTCCCTCACTAACTCTTTCCCTCACTAACTCTTTCTTTGACTATCTCTTTCCCTGATGAACTCTTTCTCTAACTAACCTTTCCCTGACTAACTCTTTCTTTGACTAACTCTTTCCCTGACATTCTAAAAGTCCGTAACACGGAAGTTTCTCCCCCTAAACTTCCTTTGATCATTTTACAGCACTCAAGGTTTCCAACATGGAAGGAAACCCACTAACATGGCTCTCATTTTACAGCACGCGAGGTTTCCAACATGGAAGGAAGCCCACTAACATAGCTATCATTTTACAGCACTTGAGGTTTCCAACATAGAAGGAGGCCCACTAACATGGCTATTATTTTGTTCTCCATCGCGCGTGCAACATAGATTTATCAAAGAATGACGCTGCTAACATAGCTATCCATTTTCGCGGGATATTGCCATCTTACAGCAAAACTACCCTGGAAAATACGGGTGTTTCACTAAAGGTTTTTAAGGGACGTTAGTGCACCAGAGTGTATTTAATTTGTACCATGCAAGAATGACATCCTGTGCAAAACACAACCGCAGACACAAAAAACACGGGCAACCACTTACTCTCTGAGATTGGTTCCTGAAGATGTGTGTTGCTGCTTCGTTAATGTTTTCATGGCACCGTGATCAAACCTCCTCCTCCTCCTCCTCCTCGTCCTCCCCCTCCTCATCATCATCATCAACCATCAACCATCAACCATCAACCATCACCACCATCATCATCATCATCAACCCATCAAACATCAACCATGAACCATCAACCATCACCATCACCATCATCATCATCGTCATCATCATCAATATCATCAATCATCAGCATCATCAGCATCATCAGCATCATCAGCATCATCAATCATCATCATCATCACCATCATCATCACTGCAATCATCACCATTGACACCATCATCATTGCCATCATCATCATCATCACCATCATCATCGCCATCATCATCACCATCATCATCACCATCACCACCGCCACCACAACCACCATCATCATCATCATCGTCATCGTTTTCCCTAGTATATGGTGCAGTTTTTCTTGGGAAAAAACATCGCGCGTGTGACCTGCTTGAGAACAAAGTCCTTTGCCCCGGCCCTCTCCAAAGGTGAGTCAACAGATCAGAGGGCTTTCAGAACGCGCGGTCGACAGTGATCCCTCTTGATCCCACCTCGCAAAAACGCCTACTATACGGTCATGAACCTTCTCTAACCAGTCGACCTTGCGCTGCAAGTAGCGAGTGCGGTCCTGCAAGTGCGCAGTGGTCTCCTAAGCCTCCCTCTCACGCAGCCTTGGTGATAACCTCTGTTGCACAGACTCCTCAGCGACAGCTGTGCTCCACACTGGCACAGCAGCCATGTGCTGAGGAACCTCCGAAGGATATCTGAACTCCGCCTCGCTGAAATCCACCTTCACAGTCACTGCCCTCTTCCACTTTGACTGCCTCCGCATTGATACGTTGCCTCTTCAGCCTGCTTTGCTCCTTAAGCTTGTCATAACGCCGTTAATCATAAATTTTCTTCAATGCCGCACGGCGCCCTGCTCCCATTGGCGCCTGTCCATGGTCATGCATCCATCCATCAATCCGTTCATCGAACCATCTACAATGTGGGGCCCCCCACATTGTAAGATGGTTTATAAACCCATTAACTATAGTTACAGGTACCATAAACCATAGTTATTGGAGTTATAAGCCAACGTAGCTATCTAGGGGGCCCCACTTTGAAAGCATGCATCCATCTGTCTGTTCACCGGTCCATCAATCCATCCATCGATGGATCCATCCGTCGGTTCAATGTCAACCCTGGACTTACCCAGATTGTAATGTAATTTTGGGGCCTTCTGGAAAATGCCATCATCACATCTTCTATCCAGGACCTTGGTCAAAAGCCTATGTGTTCAACAAGAGCCCCGGTCCGGTAATCAAACATGCAATTGGAAATTCCTAATTTGTGGTCGTTAAACGACATGGTTCCAGCAAAGTTCAATTGTTTTTATTCGCTCAGACCGACTTACCTATTTATCTACAAAACTGAACCCCTTGTCTTTGGTGCTTCAAATCAAGTCTTGGACACATTGCAGAACATGTCTTCCAGCTGCCTACTGGTTGCATGTTCAATCCATCAGTGCTCCAAACCCGAATCCATGGACAATACTTTACCCAACGGTGGTTTACTCAGCAAACACCTATTCTTGGCGCCTTCGGCCACATTTAATGTGCCCAATGTTTGACCTTGTGTTTTGGCCTTAAGATAAACTCATTGACATCCTCGAACATTTACTTCCCTAATTCAAAAACAGCCATTTTCAGCCATTTCCCAAGGTTGCATTTTGGCAGGGGCGCTCTGAGGACTGCGCGCATATGCCGCTGTGTGCGACAAGAAGAAGAAGATGTAGCATAGACGCAACGCCAAGAAGATTTAATCAGTGGTTAGATGGTTTGTAGATATGTGGACCCGGGCCTTGTTGGTCAAGTAATTGGGGTGGTAGCTCCGGACGGCCTGGGGAGAGCTGCGGCTGGTATTCATATTTGTGGGAATGCGTATCAGGCAGCACAACAGGGCAAGTAACTGGTGGACAAGCGACGAAGCGACGCTGAACAACAACGGCCACCTCCACAGCATCCTGGAGCTCCTCAAGGAGCGCTGCGTTCTGCAAAATATGGTTTATTACCAGCCACGCTACTTTACATGCTTTGCTCAAAACAAAAAAAGCGCCTCGGGAGGAACTGGATCCTGCCAGGGAGACACGCGTATCATGGTCCAAGTGTTCATGTAGGCGCGCCTCTTCGAGGCCCACACCGGCCCAGCAGCAGCCCTTGAGCAGTCACTTCTGCGATGCAGGCCAGTGCCTGGGTGACCGGTTGGATACACGAGAGAGAAAAAACCAAGGAGTCACAATTGCATTTGTTCAAGCGTGCAGCTACAAGTGGAGCCCGTGCTCTGAGGTGCAGGCAAAAGAAGAGACTGCAAAGCGAGCGAGAAAAGAATGCTTGACCGCTTGAGATTTTTGCTGCGGGCAGGTCACATGTATACATGCGTGCAGGGCGACATGCAAAACATGCCGCTTTCGAGCTCTTGCAACATTGCGACATTATCGTGACTGGCGCAATCTTCGAGATGCAAAGTATTAATCGGAATATCTTTGATCCTGCACATTAAATTTCGCATCTTATATCTGCATGTCCGTATTACCAATCTGTGAAACCGAATCAAGGTCGGCGGAGTTCTTATCCCAGGTACGGATCGAATTCTGCAGAGAAAAGTAGGATCTAGCGATAGATTGATACTACTTATATGAATGATATACAGAAAGTCATTCTACGCCTTATTTTAATTGTAGAGTTACATCATGTTACATCATTTTGCATCTGGATAATTCCCCAAACAGTTGAACACCACTTCAACTAAGTTTTTCCCAGTTGCCGATGACATTGGTCTTCCCGGTCGGTGGCAGGATAAACATCGCAACGGCACATGACACATCAATGCCCGGCCAAAGACAAGCCAAAACGATACCACTGGTTGCCATTGCGACTGTGAAGGCGCGGCAAAAAATGCCACAGATCTTGTCGGGCCACCTCCAAAAGTGGCTCAAAGAAGGTGTGATCACACTGACCGAAATCAAGGAGTGCCGGATCATCAAAAGCGGGCAACACCTAATTCTGCCCAACTCAACTAAAACAAAAATGCTTTGATTAGGAGCCCGCCAAATCGCGTGCCAGACCGCAAGAATATCTCAGCAATAAAGCGTAACTAAGCTTAACATACTATTGGCAAGCGATCATTCCAACTTATACATTAGCGATAGCGATATTATTCTTAATGCATCAGTAAAATAAGGTCACAGGGAGATTTGCTAACCAAAAAACAATTCCTTAAATGCTAATTATACTTACAAAAGGTGTGTTTATAGTCTGCAAAACAAAATTAAATAAAGCTCTAATAAAACCATCAGATACAATTAGCTATTTAGCTGCTTATAGAACAGGGGCCATTAGGCCCCCAACTTTTTCTCAACTAACCTACGACTTTTTTAAATAGCACCTACAGAGAAAGTGCCTGACTTACATCCATTTGATCATGAATAATACCTATACTTATATGCTTTCAAAGTTTTTTGTGCATTTTCTAAACGCTCTACACATATCTCTTTTCTCTTTTCTGATGTTAGCTCTACTTGTAATGTTTCTATTTGTTTCTCTGCTAGTTTTATCTCTCCTTGAAAACGAATTATTTCCCTTGCTTGTGTGTTACTTTCTTCTTGATACTGTTCTTTAATCTTATACTTAAGTAATTCTTTTTCAAGATCATGGTTTTGTGTACCAGAAAGCTGTTTCATTAGCTCATCCTTCTCTTTATTCAAGTGCTCCTTTTCTTTACTATGTGCATCTTTTAACGCTTGCATATCATTAAGATTCTTAAATTGTAGCTCTGATATTTGTTTGTCTTTTTCTGTTATAACTTGGCCATGTTCACTATCTTTTTCTGCTGCAGTTACAAATAAATCGTCTAGGCTTTGGAGGACAGTGCCATTGCCGTTTGAACCAGCGCGGCGAGTTCAGGCCCTGATTGTGCTGGTGCTTCTGCAAGACCTGCTGATGGTTTCACTCTGTATCAAGTTGGCATTTCTACAGGATGGGGCCCTCCATGCATACCCTATGGTTATTTTAGTTATAAAGCAACTTAGCATAACTTAGCTAACGAACTCGGGCCCCATACTTTAGGGGCATGACAAATTGAATGCAAAGAATTAGCAAACGCACGCATCAAATCTGCTGGGTTTTGACCACTTGTTTAAAGTCTTCCCGAACTATTTGAAGAACAGATCGGGAAATGGTCTGAGTTGTTGACATCTACCCTTTCGGTAAACGTCGGCACGGAAAATACCCAACTTTGGGTTCTCAGGCAATGGCTCAAGCATCTTCACATCTTCATCTTCCAGGGATTTTTCAGCAGGTGATGTTCCATGGGCTACACTTGATGAGCCAAACATTGGATTGATGACTTGATCGCAACTTTCGGGCTCAAATTCCATGGTTGATATCATCACTATTTTTCCCATTTCGCGATGAATCAAAAACTACAAATACCATAGCAGGATGAACATCCATGAACAAGAGCTATTTTCAAGGAGAGCCGAGTTTTGACCCATCTCCATTGAACGTGGCCATAGATTGAGGTATTTGGCACTTTGAGCCATGGCCATTTCCATGCTTCTAATTCCTTGATTTCCTACGGGTAAATCCGGTCATGGACAAAGTGACTGGCACCGATCCCACGGGAATCCAACATATCGGAAAATGCTCCAATCGATGATTTTCCCATTACCCAACCTGGTTATGACTAACTCACAGTTCGCCATGGTTCAGCCATGGCCCTAATCGAAATAGATGGTTTACTGAACTTGAAAATGGGTGGGTTTTCCATGGCAAACTGTGAGTCATAACCAGATGGTACCATTTACTGACGGGGTCCCCGCGCAATTGTGGACCATCCCCCTGACAGGGTACCAGGGGTTTCCAGGGATAGTCACCATAGTGGGATGATTGCTGCGTCCCGTAGACTGTGGATGCCATGGAACACATCAGTATCATTACTACAATGTGGTACCCCCCACTTATAAGTCTGTCTATAACCCCATCAACTATAGATATATCTACCATAAGTCCTAGTTTTTGGAGATATAAACCAACTTAGCTATCTATGGGGCACCACTATGTAGCATCAGTATTTCCAACATATCTGGTCACCTATGAAAAACATATATCAGGGCAAAGTATAATTTTTCACTAACCTGAAATAAGGTAATACTGGGATAGGTCATTATAATTTACCCAGATATATCATATATCAGGGTAAATTACAACGATCAAAAATCACATCATCAACCTGAAGCAAGCCATGTTGGGGATAATTTCCACAATCCCGCCCTCCTCATTTTAGGGTGACATCGTGGTATAACACACAAAGCGTCCTAAATTTAGCTGGTGATACCCTCGTGTTTGATGGTTATGAACTTCATATGTTGTTTCAATCACCATCTGGGGGTTTTCTAAAATAGGGGCACCCCCAAATCATCTATCTAAATAAACAAATAAATTAATATAAATATATATATATATATTAATGGCAGTTTCCATGATAAACCATCCATGTTGGGGGTACCCCCATGCATCGAAACCGTCTCAGGTGGATCGGCCGATGCGCTTTGGCCAGTCACGAAAGACCAGATCCTCGTAGAGCGCCGGCTTCGTGTCGGGCGAACAGCAGCCGATGGAGGTGCAGAGCAAATACTCCTGCGAAACTCCCACAAAAATGGTGAAAGTGTGGAACCACCAAAAAACATACCAAACTAGGGTCAAACCTAGCAAACAAGTGAGAGCTTTGGTCCATCAGAATCTTGATTTAGACAGTCCCATCCCCCCTAGGAAAGCGGCCTCAACGAACAAACTGCGCGGCTTAAGCGCTAAAGTTGGGGTGAAAATAATTGTTGCGAAACTGTCGTCATGGTTTAATGGACCATATATTTGGAATTGATTTTTAGTAGAACAATGAAACACATCCCTTTCCTACCCCTCATACAAGTAGGTTAACAACTAGTTATCCCTAGTATGGGCAGTAGAACTCCCTATAATTCCCGATCAACAAGTGTATTTCCCCAGCAGCGTAAGCTTGGGGTCTTCAGCCATAGTAAAGGTTCCGGAGCAGGTCGGAGCAGCCAAATCCGCTGGGAACCGGGTTCCGGGGAAGGTTCCGGGGAGGAGTTTCCTTTTACGGGAGAATCTCTCGGGGCAGCCAGATCGGCACGGCGCAAGGTTGGGAACCGGGTTCCCAGCAAGAGGTTCCCAAGCAAGGTTCCCAGGAACAGGTTCCCAAGCAACGGTTCCTAGCAACCAGGAAGAGGTTCCCAGCAAGGTTCCCCGTAAAGGTTCCCACAGCAAGGTTCCCAAGCAAGGTTACCAGCAAGGTTCCCAGGAACCGGTTCCCAGGAACCGGTTCCCAAGCAAGGGTTCCCAGCA